GCGTGCGCACACGCGGGAGGTGAGCGGGGACTGCGCGGGGTCCGGCTGCGGGGATGTCTCCGTGGGGTCCGGCTGCGGGACCGGCGGGAGATTCCCGCCGTTCGGTGGAGGATGCTCGGGTGGCGGCGGGGCGGCTCCGGGGATGCCCGCAGTAGCCGGGCGGCGATGCCCGCGGTCCGGCTCCGGGCTCTGCGGGGCGGCGGAAGGTGCGCGGGGTCCCGGTGTCGGCTACGGGGCTGCCGGGGGATGGCGGCGGGTCCGCCGGGGGGGCGGAGGGGGGGAGCTGCGGGGTCCGGCCCCGCCTGCCCGCACTCCCCTTTGTTGTGATCGGGGGCTGCGGGAGACCCCCGGGAGCGCGGGGCGGGGAGAGCCGGGCTGTATGTAGGCCAGGGCATGAAATATTCATCGCCCCCCTGCTTTGATGTCTCCTGCTCCGTTTCCCTCTCGACGTTCGCTCGTCGGCGATTCGGGGCTCGTGGCCGCGCTCGGCCGGGCTTTTACTGTGCCCTCGCCTGGGGAGGCTGCAGAGCCCCGCGCTGCCGGCGAAGGGCTGTAAGCTGCCGGGAGGCTTCCCCGGAGCAGCCTGGCTGCTGTGCGTGTCCCTGCCGCTGGAAAGCACCGTGGGATTTGTGTGAGCCAAGCCGGGGCCTGGGTGGACTTTCCCCCCGGACCATGACCCTGTGCAGTGTGCTTCGTCTCCGGCTCAGCCCCACGGCAGCTGTGGTTTCCTCCTGACTGTCCCTTCTCTCTGCTGCCCGGGAGGTCTGAGGGTATGGGAAGCAGCTCTCGCGGGTGATGTTTCCCCACTCAGTGGTGTTCAGAGCCCATAAGGTGCCTGGGTGCTGGGAATGGGACAGCACCGATCCAACAGCATCGGATGCAAACGGAGCTGTGGGAATGTGGCAACAAAAGACTCAGTTGGGTATTTTTCCTCTTTCCGTGCTGGTGCTCACCCCTGTCCCCAGGGGATGTGATGGGGATGCCGGTGACCTCATGCTTGGGAGCAGTGTGATGCTGTTGTTCCCCTGCACTCTTCTGCAGGCTGATCCCCTGCTGCTGCTGCTTGTTTGTGCCACTTTGTGCTGGCTCAGTGGTTGGACCGTGGACAAACCTCTGCTGCTCAGTGTCTGTGCTGAGGCTCCCTGGGGAGCGGTGTGCCACTGTGAGCCAGCCTGTGCTCCCACTGCACCTCTGCTTAGCAGACTGTGGGCTGCGCCCATTCCCAAGCTTGGACCCATGGCTAGATCTTGTCTGAGCATCTCGTGCTCAGGAGCTTCCCCAAAATTCAGCCCTGTGATTTTGGAGCTGGGGTTGCTAATGGGCTGGCACAGCAAAAGGAAGTGTGATGCTCGCTGTTTAGACTGTCAGTGGCCTTGCCATGATGCCTGTGTGGTGGAGATGCGCTAACAATACCTCTGCTTTTGAATGACATTGTCCTGGAGTGACAGAAAATCACCCAGGTGCATCTGTCCCAGCTCAGCAAGGGAAGGGGCTGTGATTTACAGTGACTGATGTGTGAAGGCGTGCTGCATGCACAGGGAACAAACTGGTGGCACAGAGGGGACATGGGATCCGGGCTTGGCTCACAATGACATGTTTTAATGACCAGCAAGCACGTGCCACGTCTGGATGGAGAAGGGGTTGCAGTAAGCCTTGGGCTGGAGCACGCAGCCCACGTGCCTCAGGGGAAGCACAGCCACACATCGCTCCTGCCCTGTGCTGCTCCAGGCATGGCAGGGGAAGCACCAAGGGCTATCTGCAGCACTATTGCTTCCTGTGCCGTCCGTTCTGCAGCATGGTTTCTGACTTGGCCCTTTATCTCTGGGAACCATTTCCCAGCTGACCTCACTTCCTCAGAGCTTCTCAGCTTAGAGCCCTCTCGGAAGCAGGGCCATGGGGTGAGCAGTGTGGGTCAGCTCCCTTGAGTGTGATGCTGTGTGATAGTCTGCTCTGTAGCCCTCTTGGCAAGGAGAAAAAGGATCTGGTTGGTGTGGTCTGTGCCCAGTGCACCCCTGCTGTGGTGCCGTGACCTTGGTGTGAGGGAAGTGGCACTGCTTTGCTTGTGCCTCTGCACATGTACGGGCTGAAAAGAAAGCCTTGAAACAGATTTCATGTGGTTTGAACGTGGGCCAGGAACCAGGACCTGTAAATCTGCGTCTTGCTCTGTCTTCCCTCCAGGCTATGGATCTCCTCACTGTCCTCCTGGGCTCAGAGCTGAGAATGCTTGGGATGTGCTGGGGGATGCGGGTGGCGAAGCAGTGCTGGAGATGTGGAGGGGACAAAAGCAATGGTGGGGATACAGGGAGGAAAAGCCCTGGGAAAGGCGGGGTCTGATTGGTGGCTTTGCTTCAGACCCTACGGAGGGCTGCCCCCACCCCCAGGCTGGCTGTGCTGTGCAGATGTGTGGTGGAGGAGCTGGAATATCCATGGTGTAACATGAGGGGTCCTGTCTCAATGTCTGGCTGCGTGGGTGAAGGGATTGGAAAGGAAAATGGGGAACTGCAGCACCCGGAGATAACACAGTCTCACCCTTCTGCCTTTCCCCATTCCAAAGCCCAGTGTCATTGGGCACAGCAGGCTCACAGCACTAGGCTGTACCCACTGCCACATGCCATCCTTGCACACGGGATCCCTGCTCCCACACTGTGCCCGGTCCTTGCTGCAGTTTCCCCGTTCCAGGTGGAACCATGGTGCTGCAGCACCTCATGGGTCTGGATGTTCCCAGGGCGGAACAGTGTGCTGGAGAACTTCTGCAATACGGAAAAAAAGAACGGTGGCAGCAGCTTTTGGAGTCCCTCCCTGCTCAGCTGAGCCCTTTCCTTCCTTTGGCAGCACCACTGAGAGATAAGGAAGCACTGCAGCCCTGGGGAGCTGCACTGCTACCCCCCCATGGGGCGTGAGGTTGTGTCCTCATGGGTGGGGATGCTGAGCCGGTGTCTGTGGGATGGGGTGAGTGCAGGCTGTGCTGTGCTGTGCTGTGCTGGGGGGTAGATTGGATGAGGATGGCCTGTATCCCACTGATGCTGGTGGTGATCAGCGCATGGGGCAGGGCAGGGAGCTGCATTGGAAGTTCCCAGGGTAGACAGGCTCAGAGCACTGGGACCGGTTGTGGGGCCATCGCTGAGAGCTGGAGGGACTGCGTGTACCTGCAGCTTGTCCCATGTCAGTGACTCCTGTTACCCAGGTGGGTTCTGGGCACCTGAGTGAGCAGTGCAGGGCTGGGCTGTGTGCAAAGTCTGGTTCTCACCTCCAGGAGCGGCAGGGCTGAAAGCCACCAGCTCAGCGTTTTCCTTTGTTTTGCATCTGCTGGGGCTGTTTGTAGCAAGCAGTGCGCGCTGCACCTCGGCTGGCTCTGAGCATCCTGCACAGTCTGCATCTGTCAGGGCACAGCCAGGAGATCCAGCGTCTCTGTATGGGCATGGGGACACGGAGGGATTCAATGTGATCTCAGCTCATCCCTCCAGACCCCTCGTTTTGCTGAGCTGAGCTTCTGCTGTATCCTGAGCTTTGTTTTGGTGACAAGTCGTGCTGAAGAGGCTGTGGATCGGCTGAGAACAGAGCTGTGCCCGCAGGCCCCCATCCAGCAGTGGGGCAGGGAGGGAGCCGATTCCTGGCCCCGCTCTGAACACAGCTTTTGCAGCTCTGGTTGTGTGTTGGAGGGTTCTGAGCAGCAGGGATCCTGCGGGGCCCCTTGGGGGTCTCTGCCCCGGGGCTGCAGCTGGGAAAGTGGGGCACCTCCTGGCCAGACTGGCTGGGCTGGTTCTGAGTGGGGAAATGTTTCAGCAGTGACGCCAGCATGGCCGGGGTGACTGCGACTTGCTCATATCTGGAGCTTTTCTGTCTGCCACGTGTTCCTCACCCCTTCCTGCTGCTGCCCATGGAGCTGCTATCCTTGCTCCAGGCTGTGAAATTGCTGCGAGTGGCACATGGGTGGGTGGCACCACTTGGTTTGCATCCATTGCTCATGTCAGCCCTTTGCTGGCAGCCCGGAGGGGCTGGGCACTGTGACCATCCCCAGCAGTGCCCTGGGCAGATCTCTCTGTGCAGAAAGCAGAAGCAAGCTCCGTTTTCTGCAGCTGCCCTGGAAGTGGGAGAGTTTGCTGCAGGAATGGAGAACTGAAATGCACGGCTTCGTGCTCCTCTTCTGAGGTCTCTCAGAACATGAGAATCAGCAGAGATCCCACAGGTGGTCAGTGTGTCCTGGGCTGATATTGAGGTGTCTTTTGGGGAGCAGGAGGCTGCGTTGCCCTGTGGTTATGTCTGGTGCTGGCCCTGCTCCACATCAGTGCTTCCCGGCTCCACAGCACCAGGGCACGGGGCAGCATTCCCTCTTTGCCTCTCCTGGGCTGGGCAGGAGGAGAGCTGTGCTCTCATCACCTGTCTGGGAGAGGCACGCTCTGGGTTAATGCACACCAAGGGCTTTGTGCTTGTTTGGGTAGTGCTGACTGGGACTGGGCTGGCAATCTGTGTGTGCAGACAGCAAGCTCAGGATGGGTTTGCAGGACCTGTGCACTTGTTCCATGTGCAGTTGGAGGAGCACCGGTTTAGGAGCCCTAGAAGTGGTTCAGTGGTTCTGCATTTGTTGACCAGATGAACATCCATAACCCGTGTCTGTGCTGCTCGGCGTTTGTTTTGTTCTTTCCAACTCCTGTTTCAACACGTCTTTTTGAAGGCGTTCTGCATTGCTACCAAATGTGACTCCCCTGTGCTCGGGGGGATGAATTTGGATGCTTCATTTAATTATCCTTTGCCTTTTCGTGACCCACCAGCCTCTGCCAGGTTGGGCTGTGAGGCTTTTATTAAGATGTCTTTAAATGTAACAGGAGTTGATGGAGTGGGATGGGAGCGGCTGCGCATTGCTTCTGCTGGGAGCACACAGCTGCACCATGCCTTCGCCATGGCCCTGCATGGATTTGTCCTGGGGGGGAAGGAGGGATGGGCAGGGATGTGCTGGCTCAGGTGCCTTTGGGATGCCATCCCTGGGTGAAGTGGAGGTCCCAGGGGCAGCTGCTCCCCTGCTTTATGAGTTGGTGGTAAAGTGTGGTTTGGTGCTGCTGCGGTGCCCTGCAAGGTGCTCCTGTTGCAGGATCCATCCTGGCAGCCCCAAAATGAGCAAAAATCTCAGCAGCATCCCTAGCACTGCCTGACCAGGGGCACACACTGATGTTCAGAGCAGGGCTGTGCCATGCCAAGCCCGGCTGGCAGCTACCATCACCCCATGCTGCTGCATGACCCTCACGTGTGCTCTGTGCCTCACACCAGCCCATCCCCACTCCCAGCCATAGGGATGCCTGCTATGCACAAGGGCTTGGGGCTGCATTCCCACCCTGTTCTGCTGTCCCTGGTTCCATGGGCTCAGCTCTGTGCTGCACCATGGCTTTGTCTGCCCGGCGCGCTGCCCGCTCCATTTGTCAGTCTGGCAGCAGACAGGTGCAGTCATTCATCGTGCTGTGCTGTGTGAGCTGATGGAGCATGGGGGGAAACCTCGGGCTGTGCCGGTCCCTCGCCCCACTCCTTATATCCAAAAGGATGCTCTCAGTTTTCTATGCTGCAAACCAGGCTGGGGTTAACGCACGACTCTTCCAGGCAGGGCTGGCACAGGTCTCCCTGCAGCACAGCTGCAGGGAAGGGATGAAACACAGAGTTGAGGGGGAATTTAAACCTGGTGGTGAGGCACTGCGTGGTGTCCCTGTAACAATCTTCCTGCTGACTGCAGTGTCCTGGAGCACTGTCCCATCCCGCCTGCTCGGCGCCCACCCCCGGCAGCCCAAGGACGTGGCATGTCGGCAGATATATCCCCCCCAAGGCTCACTGTCTGGCTGGGCCCCAGCGTGTCACAGATTCTCTCAAGGTCTCTGCTTCTGCCGCACAGAAGGCAGCAAATATGGAATTTCTGTGTTTCGTCTGCTCCCAGTCAGCGTCTTTTGTTGGTGTCTTTGAGAGGGGGGAAAAAACAAAAGAAATAAGATAAGCTCATGCCTCCCCCCCCCCTCCTTACTGCCAGCCCTGCTGTCGGCGTGGCTCTCACAACTCCCATTGTATCCTTGAGCCGCCCGGCGCAGCGCACAGCCTGTCTGCAGGAGACGGATGACCCTGAGCAGCCGCTTCCCCCGGTGCTGCTTTCCCACAGCATCCCTGCAAGGTAGGGCACAGGTGCCATCTCTTCCCACCTCCCGCCTTGCTGGCTGTAATTCTGGGGGGTGGGCAGAAACCCCGGGGCCATTGGTGCTGATGGGCAGCGCTCCCACCCTGATGTGCAGCAGTGATGTGATGGGAGCTGAGCTGTGCAGCTGAGTGTGCCTTGGTTTTAATTGCTTTGGGAGCAGGGAGGGCCGGGTGCCCTCTGGCTGGGGTTCTTCTGCCTGCTGTGCCCTGGGCAGGGATGTGCAGCTCGGTGTTTGCAGGGGGAGAATAGGGGACCAGGCTGAGCCCGTGTGCAAAGCTCAGTACTGAGTGTCCTCTCGGGGACGGAGTGCTTTGACACTCCAGGGATGCTCCCGTGGGGCCACTGTGAGAGTGCCAGGGACGTGGGGAGCACGTGCAGCCGCGTTGCAGCTATATTTGTGTGTGCTGCAGCCCAGGGTTGGGTCTGCAGCTTCCCCCACCTTCCCTCCCGCTGTGCAATTATTGCCGGCGAATATTAGGCAAGTACAAATTACAAACCATTCAAGTCGTAAAGAGCTGTCAATCAGCCACTGCTCGTTATCAAACGCACTAAAAATAGCCACCAAACTTATTGGCGGGGGGGCCAAAGGGGGAAGGAAGGATGTCAAAACAAACCCGCGGCGTGGCGTGTCCTCGGCACAGTGCCCAGCTGGAGGTGCTGGACATGTGCTGCAGCCCCTGTGGCTCTGTGCTGTGCTGTGTGCCCCGTGCAGCCCACTGGGCATGGAGGGAGCCTGGAGCACTGCTGCACGAGGCTCCTCGGGTTGGCGCTGGAGCAGCATGAAGTGCACCAGGGCGTTGTGTGCACTTTGTGCCATGGCACATCGGTGCTCTTGGGGGTGGAGAGGGCGACTCATAGCCCCGGTGACAAGGTCCCTGTGTCCCTGCAGCCATCTGATGTGAAGCAGTGGGGCTGGAAACACCCTGTGGCATGTCCAAGGGAGCTGTTTTGCTTCTCCACCATTGGGAAAGAATTGAAAACCCCCCAGGAGGTTGGGGTGTCCCAGCAGAAATGTGTCTCCCCACCCTCCCAGCACTGTGCACTGCCCAGGGCTGCCCTCCGCCATCCCCTCGCACAGCGCTGGGTGGGAGTGATGAAGTGGAGCAGAGAATTGTCCCCTTCACACATGAGAGATCAGAGCCGTCGGCCGCCAACCCCACACTGTGGGATTGCTGGGTGGGCGAACAGGAGGAGGAGGAGGGTGGGCACAGCAGCCTGCGGTGGCTGAGGGCAGTGGGAACCACGACACCCATCTGTCTGTTTGTCTGTCTGTGCTGCAGGAGCTGAGCTGACTCTGCTGGTGGCCTCACACACCACTGTGGCCAGGCAGTAGCTGGGACGTACAGGTAAGGCATGGCCGGGGGGTCCCCTCCTGCTGGTGCTGGGTGGGCAAGATGTGCAAACAGTGGGTATCAGCTGTGCTGTGTGTGAGCTGAGTGTGCAGCTCCAGGCACGCCCATGGCACATTGCACATAAATCCTGTCGCTGCTGCCCACGGCTGTTTTTGCAGTCTGGTTGTTTTGTTGTGCTCTGGGCTGGGGTTGGGAGGGTGCTGCTGGGTGCACCTCAGGGCTGCAGCTCAGCCCCCACTGCCCGCCCTGGCGCTCGCTGCTTGGGGAAGTGCCATGCTGGGGGAAGCTGCTCGTTGCTCACAGCCGCGTGGGCTGTCACGAGCCCCTGGCCACATCCCTGCGGCCCCGGCAGCACAGCGGGTGCTGAACCCTGCGGAGGTGAGCAGGGGTTGAGGAGATGGGGGTGGCTCATGTTACAGGAGGGGGCTTTCCTTGTTCGCAAGAACCTGCTTTCCCTGCTGTTCTCCTGCCTCCACTCCTGCCTGCCTGGATTTTCTTACTAGAGAGATTCTCCACCTCCCTTCTCCATCCTGCCACGCGTGATCTAGCCTAAATATTCCCTTCCGTAGCTTCAGGACACTGCTGTGTATCCAGCCATCTTTGGAGACTGCGAATAATTCCCTTCCTTCATTTATATCATTACCTTGGAGGTATTTATAGACCATGATCTTGAGTGGAAGGGAAAGCAGGACTATATATAAAGCAGTGATCCCTTGGTCTTTAGCTGCTAACTGCCTTAAACTGCTCCTGATTGAAGCTTTTCCCGCTCGGTTTTTCTGAGGGTTTGCTTTGCTGCGAGCTTTGGGCTTCACTTGAGCATCCTCAGCATTTAAATGCAGCTGTGAGTTCTGTGAGTTTGGAGGAATCCCAGCTTGTGAATATTTGTCTGGGTCTTACCTATGAGTGTTTGTCTGTGTCCCATCCATGACCTGACAGAGGTCCTTTTGTGCACTGAAGCATGGCCATGCAGATGCTGTAGTGCTGACGGCGTGCAGGAAAGGTTCTGGGGCACTGGGAACAACGTGCCATGCGGTGACTGCGTGTGGCAGCAGCTCTGCCTTCCAGCTCTTCTTTTTGGGCTGTTATTATTATTATTAAACACCTTCTGCACACACATCTCTGTCTCTCCCAGCCCACCGCCATGGGGAGCAGCAAGAGCAAACCCAAGGACCCTAGCCAGCGCCGGCGCAGCCTGGAGCCGCCCGACAGCACCCACCACGGGGGGTTCCCAGCCTCGCAGACCCCCAACAAGACAGCAGCCCCCGACACGCACCGCACCCCCAGCCGCTCCTTCGGGACCGTGGCCACCGAGCCCAAACTCTTTGGGGGCTTCAACACTTCTGACACCGTCACGTCACCGCAGCGTGCTGGGGGGCTGGCTGGTCAGTGCGGCATGGAGTGTCTGTGAGCTGTGGGGTGGGATTGGGTTCCAGCTTCCTGTGGTGGTGATGGGTTCTCCTGCCACTGGGGGGCTTTGTCTGGGATCTGGAGGGCGGGCAGTGGGATGTGGGACGTCAGAGCCCTGAGCGATCCATGTTGCAGGCGGTGTCACCACCTTCGTGGCTCTCTACGACTACGAGTCCCGGACTGAGACAGACTTGTCCTTCAAGAAAGGAGAACGCCTGCAGATTGTCAACAACACGTGAGTGTCCCTGCAATGCACCCTGCATCAGCTTCACCCCTTCTGGGAGCTTTGGGGATCCCTAAGCCAAGCCTTGCGGAGGGCCACCTCTCCCAGTGACATGTCCAAAGACATCGGGCTGCCCTGCTCCCCTGTCCTCCTTGCACCTGCCTCCAAGTCCTTTCCTTGTCGTGTGGCCAGCTCAGGTCCCCTGGCCCAGGTCCCCTGGCCCCATCAGCACTCAGCTGCTTCTCATTGGCCCAGATGCATCTCCTCTGCCTCAGGTGCTTCTCTCCATGCTGCCGCGGTGCCTCTGATCTCAGCTTCTGTCCTGACTGTGTTTTTTCTCTCTGCATGCCATGCTTTCGTGTAGGAGAAAAGTGGATGTCAGGTGTGTATTGGGGGGTATGATTACTGTTAATGACCTTCCTGGTAAAAGTCTTCCTGCTGCCCACTCAGAGCTGCACCCCACCTGTCTGTTTTGCCCCTCTGCAGTCCTGGTTCATTTGGGTTTCTGCTCCTTCCTGGTCTTTTTGGTTTTCCATTTATTTTTGTTTTTTCTTTTTCATTTCCTCTTTTTTTTTTTTTTTTTTTTTTTTTAATGAGTCACTCTGGGGATTGGGATACTTCCATAAGGTCTGGTTCTTTGCTCTACGTCCCACTCATAAGAGCACATCCATCTGTTGCCGGATGCACAGCATGGGGCAGAGGCCAGGCTGGTGAGTGATGCAATGCTGGTGTGCTCTGTCCAGATGCACAGCACGTGCCCAGCACAGCCCTGCAGCTCTGCAACAAGCAGAGGAGTGCAGTGCTGTCTACAGTAAGCACTGCTGCAGTGACCCAGCAATGTGTTTTTGGTTGGGTCCTTGTTGTCCTCGTTTCAACACTCACTGTTTGTTAATGGCTTTACTCCATGAACTTTGGGATGTGCTGCTTGCAGGGCTTTGGCCGTGCACAGAAAGCCTTCATGTAGGGTGTTTGCTGCATCCCAGCTGCTGTACCAGGCTGGGCGTGCAGCTCTCTGCTCTGCTTACTACCAGAGGCCAGCAGTGACCTTCCCCCTCCCTGATGGCCAAACACACACACCCAGTGGGGAAGGATCTCAGTACTGCTCCCAGCAGAGCAGGTCCCTTCCCAGTCAGGCAGCAGGGATGTAACAGGGTGTTCCGGGTAGAGTTGTGCAGGGAATTGTTGAAACGCTTTGTTTTGATGCTGATGATGATTTTTCTCCTCCTGCTGCGACATTTTTGGAATAGTTTGCTTTGCCAAATTCCCAGATGACAGCCATTCAGCTCGTGCTGGAACAGAGCCGCCAGTCAGGATTTGGCCATTTCCCAGCAGACGTTCACTTTGGCCCCGTGGGAACAGAAACAAGGCAGCTCCTGCCCCTGTCCTGGGCACACAGTGAGGTGCTGGGCTGCAGCCCTCTGGTCCTTGCTGCACTGTTCTCACGGAGCTGCAGTTTCCCTGCAGCCCCATCTTCCTGGCGGTCAGAATAAATGAAACGGCTGTCTTTGATGGCTGAGGACACAGCGGTGGTGGAGGAACCCCCTGCTGCCTGCCTGGAAGGGGAAGCTGCCTCCTGGGGTCCATTCATTGTCCTTTCCTGCCCAGCAGCCTGTGGGGTGTGATGGGGAGGGCACGGAACACAGCGGACAAAGGCTCCTGCACCCTGCCAGCACCTGCGGCCACCTCTTGGCAGCCCCAGAGCTTGGGGATAGCACTGGTATTCATCTGTGCCACAAAGGGGTTGAACCCACTGCACCACAGCCAGGCTTTGCCCATAGGGCAGCTCTCATCCCCCCTCCCTGTGGCATCAGCACAGCTGCCCTGTGCCCGCTGGATCGGTTTTCCACCCCTCTCTGTCACTCGTTTATTTTCTCCCTTTTGTTGCTTTTGTGCAGCCTGTGTTTAACAAATTCTGCCTTCTTTTGTTTCTCCTGGCGCCTTTTTTAATCACTGCCATCATTCTGTTGCTTTTCTCCCATTTCCTCTCCCTCCCCCTTTGCCTGTTGCTTATCTGCTTACTGGGATTTCCAGTGCCTCTCAATCTCCAGCCAGACCCAGCTCAAATTCAGGTGGCTCCAAAGGTGTTTGCCTTGCTTTCTCTCCCGCAAGGACACCCTCCTTTATGGACGACACGCACCATGGAGGTGCTGCTCATCCTGGAGCCCCTAAAGGATTTGGGGCTGGGGGGGCTCACCGCTGCCCTCCTTGGGGTCTCTGTGGGGAGTGGGTCCTGCTGCAGGCTGGGTGTGGGTGCTGCTCACTGCTGTCCCCTCGGACTGGGCTCTGCTGGCTCTTCCCCATCCCACATTTCAGTGGGACAGTGCCCAGAGGTGGGACAGGGCCCGACCCGGGGTGCTGTGGGCTCTTTGGCTTCACACTGAGTGTGTTTTGGTTCTCTTGCAGGGAAGGTGACTGGTGGCTGGCTCATTCCCTCACTACAGGACAGACGGGCTACATCCCCAGTAACTATGTCGCGCCCTCAGACTCCATCCAGGCTGAAGAGTAATTGCCATTTTTAGACAGTTTTGAAGCAAACAATGACAAAAGCATTCGCTGAGCACCTTTTCCCTCTCTGTCCCTCTCCCCCCCGTGCAAAACCTGAAGGACATCTGTCTGGTTTTATTTTTTGCTTATTTTTTTCCATTTTGTTTTGTTTCTAAACCCGCTAAGCGTTTTTCTGCCTCTCCTCGAGGCACACGGAGCTCTGTGTGTTTGCATGGTTGTGTGGCCTCGCCTCCAGGCACAGGGAAACTGCAAACTCTGCATTTGCAGATTAGGACCCCGGTGACACAGAGTGACCATTGCGTATGGAAAGCAGAAGTCACACAGCTGCCCACAGTGACAAAAGCACGGGAGCTGGGCGACCTCGAGCTACCCATGTTTTGGGAGGCTTTTGGAGTGAGGGTGCTGAGCGGAGCTCTGCTCGGTGATTGTGAGCCTGCTGCTCGTTCCCACAGGTGGTACTTTGGGAAGATCACTCGTCGGGAGTCCGAGCGGCTGCTGCTCAACCCTGAAAACCCCCGGGGAACCTTCCTGGTCCGGGAGAGCGAGACGACAAAAGGTGAGCCCTGATATTCCCCCTTCCCTCCTTCCTCTGCCAGAGCCACGGAGCAGCCCTGGAGGGGTCCTCCAGCACTTGGCCACCGCGTGGTCCCAATCCCCCTGACATAGGTGTACCAAAGGAGATGAGCCTCCTGCACTGCATTCACCTGCAGTTTCACTCGTTTTTATAGATGTCCCCTTCACACTCTGTTCTTGTCCCATTATCCAAGCTGGAGACTGAGGTGTCCCATGCACGACATCCTGGTTTTACCCACTAATGGTTTTCCCACAGATGTGCCCACATAAGTCTAAAATGTTGGGAACAACGCTATATCCTCTCCTGGGCTTTTTTTTGTGTTATTTTTGTGTTATTTTTTGTGTTATTTTTGTATATTATGAGTTTTGTTTTTTTCAGCCTCTGTGTAATGGTAAAATCTCAGTTGTGAAGAACTAGGTGGAGGTGATGATGGATCTTAGGCCCTTTCGAGTCTAATGATTCTTTATCCCTGCTTTTTTCCTTCCAAATGTGCAAGTTTGATCTCAATAACTTGGCTTTCTGAGGGTACATTTTCTTACCTGGAAGCATGCTTTAGTCTAGCTCCAAATACCCCTTCGGGAAAAATTCCTTGATATTTTTTTCTGTTTTGATGCTTTGAGCTTGGCATCATTTACTTTATTCCATTGGAAGCAGCTCATTCAGCAGCCTTCCCTCTCCCTGTTTGTGGCCCCAGACTTGTGCTATCACAGCTGTGTGGGCACAGGAGAGGCAGGCTCTGGAAGCAATGCGCATAGCAGGATGTAGGAGCGTATAACTGGGTCTGCAGCCCCCCATCCCTCCCTACACCCCCAGTTGCTGCCACCTTGCTCCCTATGCCTTGTAGTGCTACTTGGCTGTGGCAGTGGTTGTAAGTGATAGATAAGAGGTGCTTTCTGGAGGTAAAACCCGCAGCCTGCTCCTGCTGCACCGACCCCGGTGGGGTCCCTGTGAAGTCCCCGAACCACTCGGTTGTGCCCTCAGGTGCCTACTGCCTCTCTGTTTCCGACTTCGACAACGCCAAGGGGCTCAATGTGAAGCACTACAAGATCCGCAAGCTGGACAGCGGTGGCTTCTACATCACCTCACGCACACAGTTCGGCAGCCTGCAGCAGCTGGTGGCCTACTACTCCAGTGCGTATGGCCTGAGCACCTGCCCACATCCCTTGGGGTCTGGGTGATGCCAGGAAGGTTTGGGTTGGGTGTTGGGAAGAGTTTGTTCATGAAAAGGTGATAGTGGTGGAGACCTCATCCATGGAGGTGTTTGAATATGTGGATGTGGAGCTAAGGGACGTGTCTTAGTGATGGGGTGGTTGGACTTGGTGATCTTGAAGGTCTTTTCCAACCTAGATGGTTTTATGAAGGGAATGCCAGTGCTGGCACTGAAGCAGGTGGGCAGACCCTGGTGAAACGCCGCTTGGGTTTGAGAAAGAGGAGAAGGGGTCTGAGTGTGGGTGCCCAAGGTGTTGTGCAAGGAAGACGTCATGCATCCAAATGCCATGCATCATGTTGTCCCTGCTGTGCTAGAACATGCTGATGGCTTGTGCCACCGCCTGACCAACGTCTGCCCCACATCCAAGCCCCAGACCCAAGGACTCGCCAAAGATGCATGGGAAATCCCCCGGGAGTCGCTGCGGCTGGAGGTGAAGCTGGGGCAGGGCTGCTTTGGAGAGGTCTGGATGGGTAAGGACAGCTCTGGCCCTGGTGCCACGGCCACACGCAGTGTCATCATCTGCAGCAGTGGGGCAGCAGGTAGGGGACACAGCCCTGTAAATGTGTCCTGTGCTGCAGGGACCTGGAATGGCACCACCAGAGTGGCCATAAAGACCCTGAAGCCTGGCACCATGTCCCCAGAGGCCTTCCTACAGGAAGCCCAGGTGATGAAGAAGCTCCGGCACGAGAAGCTGGTTCAGCTGTATGCGGTGGTGTCAGAGGAGCCCATCTACATCGTCACTGAGTACATGAGCAAGGGTGAGCACAGGAGGGCTGCTGGGTGACCAGAGAAATGGCTCTGCTTGTTGGTGACCGTTGTCTTCCTCACAGGGAGCCTCCTGGACTTCCTGAAGGGAGAGATGGGCAAATACCTGCGGCTGCCACAGCTCGTCGATATGGCTGCTCAGGTGGGTTCCTGTTTCCTTTTCCTCCTGCACCCTGGCTCCATTAGCTGGATCGGGTCTGGCTATGGAGCCATCCCTGCCATGGTGGGGTCCTCTTGTCCCCTGCAAAGCTCAGTCCCCACACTCTGCCCTGCAGATTGCATCTGGCATGGCCTATGTGGAGAGGATGAACTACGTGCACCGAGACCTGCGGGCAGCCAACATCCTGGTTGGGGAGAACCTGGTGTGCAAGGTGGCTGACTTCGGGCTGGCACGCCTCATCGAGGACAACGAGTACACGGCACGGCAAGGTGTGAGCGGGGCCTGGGAACATCTGGTGATGTTGGTGGCTCGGTGCCCCAGGCCCTGAGGTTGGGGGTCTGTGGGCTGCAGAGGGGAGCAGCCCCTCACTCTGCCTCCCGGTCCAGGCGCCAAGTTCCCCATCAAGTGGACGGCCCCCGAGGCGGCCCTGTACGGCCGGTTCACCATCAAGTCGGATGTCTGGTCCTTCGGCATCCTGCTGACTGAGCTGACCACCAAGGGCCGGGTGCCGTACCCAGGTGAGAGCTGGCACCAACCCCACGCTCCACGGGCTGGGCACAGTGTGTGACCCGGCCCTGCTGCCCTTCTTTCCATAGGGATGGTCAACAGGGAGGTGCTGGACCAGGTGGAGCGAGGCTACCGCATGCCCTGCCCGCCCGAGTGCCCCGAGTCGCTGCACGACCTCATGTGCCAGTGCTGGCGGAAGGACCCTGAGGAGCGGCCCACCTTTGAGTACTTGCAGGCCTTCCTGGAGGACTACTTCACCTCGACAGAGCCCCAGTACCAGCCTGGAGAGAACCTATAGACCTGGAGCTCCTCCTGGCACCAGAGGCCTCACTGTGGGGCACAGAGGGCCGGCTCCATGCAGAGGGGCCACGTTCTGGGGAGCAGCCCCAGAGCAGGATGTGGCATGGTGAGGTGCCGGCTGCCCCATTGCTCGTTAAAACTGCTGGGCCACACTTAACGAGGTGGCGAGAGGAGCCCTGGGCACTGCCACCAGTGGAGCTGGGGCTCAGGATGGTGAGCGGAGCAGCGGGATGGCTCCTGGCACAGCCACGGCTTTCAGGACCCTCTTCTCACAGCAGCCAGAGAAATTGGGGGATAGCCTCTCCCACCTCAGACACACTGCCCCACACCTCCTGCACCCCCTTTTTAAAATCAGCACAAATTTCTTCACCCATTCAACCACCCACTTCACTCTGATCTGCCCAAGGCTGTTTGCAGAGACGTTTGGTGATGGGGAAGGCACTGCTTTGAATCGGATGCAGCTGAAGTGCAGACCTTGGGATGCCCCAGGGAGGCTGGCCATCTCCCTTCCTCCAGCACCCACCTGTTCTTGGGCGCAGGACTCAGTGTTTTGGGAAATTACTTGTCTTTTAGCACTGCTTTTGTCCACTGGTGTGTTTCTAGCTGCCATCCCCCCTGCTTCTGCCATCCCCATATCAGGGAGCACGGAGCTACCGGGAGCCATTCGCAGGCCCAGCTGCTCCCTGCTCGCTGTCAGTACCATGTGTTGGAGGTCAGAATGATCCATGCCCAGTGTCCCCAGCAGCACCCTTTGAGCACCCACCCTGTACATAGCCCTCCAGCACCTCCCACTACTTGACCAAGCTGCATGTGCTGTCGTGTTCCTCCTGTGGTACCGCCAACATCTGTCCTCGTCTGTCCCCAGCTGGAGCCCCTCATCACACCATCGCCACCTGTGTCCTGGACCTCTTATCCATCACTCACACCCAGTGCCAAAAATGCCTCCGGAGCACCAAGCTGAGCTGCTGCTGCCTCCCACTCACTCCCCAGCATCTTATTTATTACCTGAGTTCTCAGTCGGTGGCTCTGTTTTAATGGTGAACTCAGTACGGAGGGGCTCTTAGCAGTATGGAGGGACCCCACCTTGGCCTGGAGGACTGTTTCCATGGATTTCTGTACTCACAATGGGACTCAGAGCCCTTCGTCCCCCAGCACATTTCCTGTGCCAACCTTGGTGCAGGGTCTTCTGCACCCCAACCTGTTAACCTCCGCATCCCGTGACGTTTGTGTGCCATCACCACACAGTGTGCACAGTGCCTGCAGCCGTAGGGAAAAGCTCTGAGAGCAGCATGTGGGAGTGGGCAGTAGCCAGATGTGAGCCAAGAGCTGGGGAGGGGGAAAAAAGGCAGACACACGCGTGGACACACAGCCTTTGGTTTCCTGTAGCATGGAGCAGCGCTGGGGGCTGCTAGCCCACCCGTGCCCTCCCCTCCACTGCTGGTCTGTTGCTGAAGCCAGTGAAGAGCAGGGAGTTACTTCCCCCACAGCCCCCACAGCGATGTTGTTTGGCACAAAGCAGCTCTGTGTGAGACGTTCTCTTCTGCTGATACCATTTTTTAAAGCATTTTGTAACATCTCCCATCAACTGTGCAGAGGACGTGTGGATTTGTTTTTCTCCCAGCCCACTCCTCCTCTGCCTCTTTCAGTGTCAAAGTAAGAATTTTTTTTTTATTTTTTTTTTTATTTTTTTTTTTTTGTGATAATAATAATAAAACTTTGGAAAAACCTGACCATGTCTGGTGTGGTGGAGGGGTTGGGGAGGGTGGAGATGCTTTGAAACTGATGATGGTGTTGTAAATACTTTGCAATTTGATAATTAAAGACAAACAGACCTCACCAAACAGATGGCTGTGGGTTGTGTATGGTGAAGGAGGACCTCTTGGCATCCCCAAAGGGTCCCACGTGGCTCTCAGGGTTGTCTTGGGGGGGAGCATCAGTCAAGTGAGAGAACTATGGGGCACACACAGCTTTTGTCCTGTATCCGTCTGCCCTAGGACACCCCTGTCTGCTGATTGCAGCCTCCTTCAGCTGCTGCTCAGTGAGCTGGCTGGGAGCAGGTTTGCTTCATTAGGGTAATTAGTGGATGCTGATTGGAATCCATCAGTTGGTGATGAAGTAATTGATTTGTGGGAATAGGCCTTCAGAGAGGGGCTGTGGCTGAGCCTCAGTGACCCGTGGTGGTTCTGGTGCCCTGTGTGCTGCTCTGCCTCTGAGGACTGGTGAGTTGATTTCATCATCTTAAGTGTTTAATGCTTTATGATTTACTTGCTAAAGTAATTAAGTGATGGAGAGGGTATCTTTGGTGGTGAATGCCTCACAGCCCTGCAGCCCTGGGCTTTGTCCTTGCAGTGGGGCAGGGGTTCTGTAGAGCTGGGGTTGGGACGTGGGAAGCCCCACTGTGTATTTTCTGTGTTTGTGACCATGCAGGGAGCAGCCCTGACCCGCTGTGTGGGCTGCAGTGCCCTGGAGTGAGTCTTGGTCTGGCTCTGGGGTTTCTCCTATCGCCCAGACCCAGCAGAAGGGCCCCTGGTGCAGAGCAGGGTGTGCTTGTGGCAGGGCTGACGTTTTCCTCTCCTGACCCCACCATGCTGCTTCTCTGTTGGGTGACCTAGAAAATGACCTCGTTATGATGGAAAGGTAAAGGGATGGCTTAAGGCTCCTGCAACCAGGGAACACGAGGCAGATGGACACCTTATTATAAAGCAAGGTGATGAGATGTTCTGTGCCAGATCCCTTCTGGGCAGTGCCTGGGCTCCGTAGGACCTGGCACCGCTCTGCTCTGAGCCCCGTTGCTTTCCTCATCACTGCACGGTCCCGAGGGCAGGCAGGGACCGCAGTGCTGGAGCTGTGCTGCCCTCCTGGTGGGGTGGCTTTCAGGGAGCACTGCGATGCTGCTGTGTAGCTGGAGCAGGCACTGCACTCGTGTGGGCTCTGTCCAATTCGCAGCACACGAGCACAAGCCGTGATGATGCTCTTGGTACGCGGTCGGGTTTGACCTGTTCTGCAGTTGCAGGCTGGTTTTTCGCGGTCTCTTTATAGAGGATGAGCTGGGGATCAGGGCATTAGCATGGGATCCCGGCTGGGTTCCTGCTCTACCTCGGGCTGTCTGTCTGACCGCGATGAAGTTGCTTTAATTTTCTATCTTCAAAATGAAGATGGTATCTCAGCGCTGTGAAGCGTCGGATAGCACTCCGTGAGGGCTCTGTGCATATCAAAGGGCTCGTCACTACACCTGGGGAGGGAGCACCACGAAAAGCACGCTGCTTAAGCATCGGTCGAGATCTCTGCCGCCGCCTCTGTCCCTCTTTTGAAGTGCCGCGCTCCCCACGCCAGGCCTCGCACTGGGGAAGCCGCAGCCGCGTCCTGGGTCGGGCTGATGGGCGAAGGCAGGGCTTGCTCTCACCCAAACTGTCTGGCTTTGTGGCTAGGATTTATTTAAATGGCAGTGAAGTGCAGCTTGGTTAGTTAGCAACCCAAATGGACTCTTAAAAGAGATGACTGCATTAGTTTAAATAAAACAATCCTCATAGCTTAAATAAACAAAACCTAAAAGCTGCTCAGAGCGCTCCAACTGCACGGCCATGCCTTGCAAACGAGCTGTACCTTTCCCTTCTGTTTATTTACGCTGTAACTACTGGCAGCTACAGGGATTCCCTGTAGCTCGGTGACAGAGCTTCACGTCTCCCCCCGGTGATGTGGCACACACTTTAAAACGTACAAACAGATACATGCTGGATGCTTTCCAACTTGGACTCAGTGGCCAGGAGTGAGGGCAGAGGTTGGTTTTGGTTCCAGCAGTGCATTTTGGCTCCCATGTGTGCTGATAACTGGTTGTAGCCGGGCACAGCGCTTCCACGAGCCCATCTCATGAGCTGGGCAGAGCTGTGGGCAGGGGCTGACACGAGGCACAGCACTGGGCAGCGTGGGATGGGCTCACAGTGCCTCTGCAGGGAACGGCTCCCTGCTGGGGATTAGGCTGTCAGTTCTGTGCCTTCCTTAAGCTGCAAGGAAAGGAGAGGAATCTGTCATGGAAGTGCAGAGATGCAGCCAGAAGCTACCTGCTGTGTTGTGTGCAAAGTGAGCTTGTTCTGGGAACTGCCAGCACGCTCCTTGGCTCGCCCAGGGTTAAACAGTTAAAGAGGAGTCAGCACTGGGAGTTACAGGGCCAACGGGCTCTGCCTCTTGCTAGAGACTGCATTACTGTGCTTGGAACAAAACAACTCTGCATGACTGCTGGGCTAAGGCAGCTGTGACGAACAGTAGTCAGGGCAATAGTCCACAGACCAAAGTCTATAAAGCTTTATTAAACATTTTGAACAGCTGTGCAATGAACAAACAGTATTCTGGAAGTTTCACAATTTCATAGCCTGAACTTCCTTGGGACAGCAGCAGCCACTTCTGCTGTGTTCCCCTTTGAGATTGAAGATGAGCAGATGGCAATTGAGGGAACTCTCAGACAGTGTAGTCAATACTTGGTGTTGACTTCAGTTTCTCATAAGCAAGCTGCTGCCCCAGGGAAGGCTCCCCAAGAGCCACTTCTATGGAGAGAACTGTGCAGGGCAAAGCTCTGCACAACGGTGCCTGTGTGCAAGCAACCCACCACCACCCAGGGGAGCCATGGAGAGGACAGAGGAGTACCCAGTGCCTCCATCACCAAGCCACAGCATCAGCACCTTCTGTCACCATCAGCCAGAGAACAGTCATTGAAAATCATTTGCCCACTGACGGCATCGCTGGCTTCAGGCCATGCCTACACCTCAGGATCTTCTCTTGCTCTGCACGCACCCAGACTTTTGAGCCACTGTTTGGTTTTCTCAGGTGATGTTCATAGAGATTCTGAAAAATCCCACATCTTGTTGCAGTCAATGATTTGGTAAACCCTGGAAATCTAGCAGGGGAAGAGGCAGTCTGCTGCCTGTGAGGCTTTATAAAAGCAGCAGCGTAACTGAGGCTTTCAGGCTATGAACTTGGAGCATTAGTAGTTCAGAAAGCACTTGGGCAGTGCACACATCTCTTTGGCAGGCTGAGCAGCAGGAGATGACTCAACTGCCTCTGGCTCCAGCAGCTTTTGGCCAAGTGCATCTGTGAGCTGTTGAACTGTCCTTTGATCAGCAAGGTGAGAAGGCTGGCTCCCCACAAAGTGAAGGATGGAGAGGATCCTAGAGCTACTTGAGCAGAATCAGTGTTAGATCACCGTGGCCAACAAGAGAGTGACACACAACTCCACCACTGTGCAACAGTCAGAGGCCAACAGCTCTTTCCTCCACCAGTTCTCAGATAGGAGGGCTGGTGTCCATTCCCAGTGATATGGGAAGGAAAAAAAAATCTGCTTCTAAAAAAGCAGGTGGCGCTGCAAGAGTTCACACAGTAAACAAGTCAAATTTCATAGGCAGAGTGGGAGGGCTGGTCAGGAATTTACCACTCTAGTCCACACATACATTACAGGAAATAGGCTGTTTTTACTTCAACCACATGCCTAACACACCCCCACCCTGTTCCCTAGACCCTCCCCCCCAATTAAAAGCAAAACCAGAGCTGTCAACAAACAGGAAGATAATAGTTATCTAGGTGCCCACTA